CTCCACTTCAAGAGCGCCTAGTGAAATTTGAAATTCTAAAATACCTTAATGCCTTTGGAAATGTCGGTACCTACCTTAACAGGAGCATTCATTAGGTGGCCCAAATACAATCAAAACTGTTTATATCTAGAAGGGCGCAACAAATAGTATATCTAATAAGCGCTGTACTTTTGTTGTTACATTTGTAGGTGACATTGTTTTCAACAGATTTTTTTTAACACGATGGGCGGAGTAATATTTGATCACCTTCAAGAGCGCATACAAGAAAAAGGTGTATTAACTGCGTATTTGAGGACGCTGCTGATTGAACCTATGTTAAATATGTTAAGCATGTTTGCAGCGCAATTTTACTGATATGAACGCACAGTAATGTCCAAAACTTCCTTTTGGTGCACAGCTTTTATAAGAGAAACGCACAGATTGATGATTCTGTACCCAGTTAGTATTGATTTAACAAAATACAAATCGGTTTTCGGAGCTGGTTAATCATGGAGTATCCATTAGTAACCACCAGGCCTGGTGGTTTGGTTGTTTTTCATACCCAAATTACATTGAAATGATTAGCTAATCATAGCATGTATGTTGACAATGGAATAACGTCTGCAAGCCAATTATTTGTGGCGAGGCGACTAAAAATGCAATATACAAGGTGTTTCCCAAAGTAAAAAAAAAAAAATTACCACAGACTTGTTCTTTCGACGAATCGACTTTATTTTATTCAAAATAGTCCCCTTCGGACTCAATACAACGATTTGCACGATCTAAAAGCATATCAAACGAGTGTTTTATGGCCTCGATAGGGATGTCCTTCAGGATGGTGGTACAAGACTTTTGGATGTCTTCAATGCAGGCTTGCAATTGCTCATTACAGCTAAAATGCTATTTTTCGGTATTATAAAACAATGGGATACAATAAAGATAATTATTATTTGTAAGATGCAAGAAGAGGTGGTAAAGTTTGTATATGACATATAAAATTTGTCAAATTTGCTTTCAGAAGGTCACAACTAGCGATTTTATAATCGCTGATTGTTCGCTCATCGCGTTGCTCATCGTTACAGCTAACCGTTAGTTGTGACCTTCTGAAACTTTACCACCACTTCTTGCATCTTACAAATAAAAATTAACATTATAGTATCCCATTGTTTCAAAATACCGAAAAATAGCATTTTAGCTGTAATGAGCAATTGCAAGCCTGCTTCAATGTCCTTATAATGCTTTTCTTTCATCGGCAAATGTAATTTTCCAAACAAGTTGAAGTCGCACGGTGCTAAATCAGGTGAATACGGGGCATGATTTATGGTTGAAACGCGATTTTTCAGACAAAAATCAGTCACAAGCGTTGACCGATGCGACGGAGCATTATCGTGCAACAAGCGCCAACTTCCTTCTTCGCGGTATTCGGACCGAATACACCAATACGATGCATAAAATGCTTCAAAACATCAAGCTAGAATACAGCATTAACCTTGGGGCAAGACAGCTTCCGATCATGAGTATAATCGGAGTTAATTTTGAGTAGCTCTGAGTAACTCGCATTGCTCAAAAACATTTACACATAGCAACCTGATTGTTGTGTTGAAACCGATGCTGTCAAGCAAAGATAATTCAGTGGCAACATTTCAAAGGGGCTTCATTGCATTTGTAAATTTGTAATACGTATTTCAACATTTTAAGCGGTGTGCTTTCAAACTAAAGCTTACCCGAGAAGATATTTCGGCAATGGAAAGGCAATTGCACTTTCGTATAGCACGCTGCGAAACATTAGCAACCACATAATTCGGATTCTGATGGACAATCACAAGAAGGATTCCGGACAATCCCAAGAAGACTTCGGACAATATCTGGAAGGATTCCAGTCAATCGAAAAGGGGATTTATGACGGAGGGACTCGAAACTAGCCTTCATGTGATTCCAGACAATTATTAGAAAAGATTTCATACACTAGCAATACGGCTTCCGGACAACCCAACAGGAATTCTGAACAGCTAAAAGGACGATTTCAGTAAAAAATGAGGGGCATACATGACAGTCCAGAGAGGATCCCAAACAATCCCAGAAAGGATTCCGTACAATTTCAGGAAGATTCCAAACAATCTCAGTGAGTCATCCCAAATGGAGGATTCTGAACAGTTCTAAGTAACATGACAAAAAAGGGATGAAGGAATTCCTGCATCCCTTCGACGATCGCTCATGTAAGTGTCTGAATAGAATCAACTATGGAGTTGGCCACAACTAAATCTATTGTGACTTGGGATGAACAGCTACATAAAAGACCGCATTCGCCAATGTTCCATTTGTGCTAAATGTGGATCGTCACAACTATATCAGGCGATGAAAATTTAACCCATTTCTGATCACAATTTTCAACTGTCTTTTTCTAAGAGTATCAGGGGAACAACGGAAGTTTCTAGTGACAGTTGATCATTACTCTGACTTTTTCTAGCGAAAATTTTTCCGGAGATTTATATCAATCTTCCATTATGGAAGCTTGTAAATTTAATTTTGCTGGTCACTGTACACCTCAATTATGAATATTTAGTAATGTTGAGTTTCCTCATGCCAGAAACTAATTCCACAGAACAAGAAGCCTCTTAGATCGATTTTGAGAGGTTGAGTATTAATTTTCACGAGCTCATAATATTAGGTCAAATTCCAACTTCTTTGATCTTGAAATCACACCACCACATCACGAAAAACTTCGAAGATCATCAATTCCTAGAAAGCAAAAGAGGCCCCTGGCCTGGACAAAATCAATATAACTTGGATCTTTTAATAATGAAAACTTAATATTGCCGTTTCATGAACATCATGTTATATAAAATTTGATAATCTGACGCAAAATTTTCTCTCAATTGAATATATTTCAACAAAACATTCTGTCAGACGGTTGTTGTTTCCAGAACATCTTATGATGAAAAATACGAGACTACTTTGTTAATTTTTGAGTAAATATGAGCAACTCAAATTTACTCGCAGCAAATATATGTACTCTGAGTACACCTGTCTTGCCCCTTGGCATTAACCGTTCGGCCGGTTCGGCCAGTTGGAACGAACTCTTTATGACTAATCCCCTTCGAATCGTAGAAACAAATTAACATTGTCTTCCCTTTTGACTTCTCCAAACGGTATTTTTTTTTTCGAACTTGGCTCGCCTGGAGGCTTCCATTCGGCACTTTGACGCTTGGTTTCTGGATCATATTGAAAACACCACGTTTCGTCGCCCGATACAATGCTGTACAAGTAGTTTTTGTCCTTTCTTGCCTCCTTAATAATTATGTCTTTCAAATGTTGAATTCTCAGCAAATTTTGGTCGTCGGTCAACTTGTGCGGAACAAATCGTGCGCACACCTTTCGTAGGCCCAAATGTTCAGTCAAAATGCGATAAATTGTTGATTTGGCGATACTTAATTTCATTTGATGACTTCCTTGGTAATTACGAATTTCGGCTGGCCAACATGTTCGTCATCGTTTAAGTCTTCACGACCATTCTTGAAGCGCGTATACCACTCGTAGACTCTGCTACGGGATAAACAAACATCATCATAAACTTGTTTCACCATTTGAAACGTTTCGGTAAAGTTGTTGTCAAGTTTATCGAAATTTAATATTGGCTCTTTGTTCGATCGACATTTTGTACCGACACTGTAAACAGATTGTAGTTTGAGGCGCAATAACTTGGTTTCTACTCACCCGTCAATGAAAGATGTACGTTTCCAACACCTATCCTTGCCAATTGATGGCGCAACCAGGAACTGAGATATTTAAAAAGTCCTGTTTGCTTTGGGACACACCTTGTATGACTGATTGTTGTGTCTATCTTAGGGAAGTATATCCTATTAGGTCAAGTTTAAATAATTGGAAAATAAATAAACATGTTTTTTTGTCGTTTTTCTAGATCAATTCACAAGAATAAGTATAACCATTCATTTTCTATCACCACCGAGAATATCCCCTTTCTGTTAAAAAATCCACTGCTTAAATTTCAAGCCTCACCACAACCTATTATACAGATGTTTCTAATACCCTACTTTTTTCATTTCTCTTTCACCTCGTCAAATGCAGGGAAAAATAGCAACGGAAGCTGTATCGTAAATATAATAAAGAATTTAAAATATGAATGCCACTGCCGAATTTCCACAGAAGAAATTAAAGAGTGGGAACACTCAAGACACATTCAGTCTATAAAACACTGCACTGCACCATGCAAAAGAGATACAGAATTTTTAAGGTAATTTACTGCAATTCCTCCCAAGAGCATGTCAATCTTACACGATTGCATTCCTCATTAACCGTTCGAGCTCACCACCATTCATTCGTTTTTAGTGGTCGTGATCGAGTATAGGGTACAAAGAAGATAGCGACAACGCGTCCAATCATACGGGAACTGGGGCGCTTTTAATGGCTTGACTTGCATCGCACAGCACAGAATTACCATGTTTATTGAGTCGGATCAACCATAAAAACAAACACGGTGACAGCGGCTGTCAAACACAATGCTCGCCCTAAGAAATGTATGTGCATCCCGCATCTACAAGTGGGTAACATTTTATTGCTCCCAAGACGACAATCGGTCAGAAAGGTGCAACGTGCGCGGGTGGATTAATGTGACTGCACTTTTCCCGCAAAATAAACGTTATAAAAATATGATTATCGTACACCAACTCGTATACATGGATCAGAAGAAAAATGGTTTTTTGAGCCGCGTGTAATGAGTCCAATTAACACGTTTTATAGGCCAATTACCGTGCGGGTTTGTTTTGATAATAAACTTGCTGGATTTGCACGAGCGTACGCAGTGTAGTAAACAGTTTTGACGAATTGGTCAGTTTAATTGATGGAGAAGAGAAGAATAACCACAGCAGGAGAAGCAATTTTCCCATGTTTTTTTTTTTTGAGTTCGTAGTATTGCAATATAAACTAATGGTTTTTATTTGCTGTACAATGTTGATTGCTTTGGTTGAGTGGCTTAGTGGTAACAGCTTGTTGGTGGTACTTACTCTTCATTGGTTTCATTATCACGGAATCCTTTAGCAAATGGGTTGCTTACGATTTTCAGCTGCGTTACCTGTAATTTGAGATAATAAAAATTATAGTTAATTGGTTACAGGTGATCCATCAAAGAACAACCGTCATTTTGAAAAATTACGTAGGTGTACTGAAACGAAGACTATAGTTATTCTTGTTTCTTGGTTTTTGACGCTCTTACACCAGCTTTCGCCTGCTCTCAACTTAGTATTCTTTGAAGCACTTCCACAGTTATTACTTAGCAGCTATCTATACCAATACCTTGTCATCAAAAGCAGATAATACAACAGAAATTCGAGAACGTAAGTGGAGGTGGAACGGCCACACACTACGAAGGGGAAGACACGAAATCTGCAAGCATGTGCTGGATTGGAAGCCGGCAGGACAACGCAGTGCTCAGAGACAGACCCAGGGGCTCATGTCGACGGTGCCTCAACAAGGAAATAAAGAAAGTCGACAGGAATCTGACCTGGGTCAAAGCAGAAGTGAGCAGCACAGGTTGGAAATCTTTCACGTTGGTACTATGCACCGCTAGGGATGTGCATGATACATGAGTGAGTGAGTGTTTCTATATAAACCAATGTATGTATTTGTATATTGTGTGGCGAGCACAATGATACCAACAATCCCCAATTAACGATTTTAAATTGGCTCATTACTTGACTGGTCTTGTTCATCTCAATTCCTTTATTTTACGTCGGTCTCTGTTTCGCAAGCTAGTGTCAAACCCTGACCGGCAGTTTCCACACCTGCGTAGGACATTGTACCCATCAACACACATGGGCCAGGGACCAACGGCTTTACTTCCCTTGCGAAGGAAGACGGCACGCTTACCACTACACCACCGGCGCCGGCTTACTTGAGTGGTCCCCTCTTAGACTGGTCCCAAGAACATCTATAAGCGTTAGGGTGGGTCACTTTTATAGGGAAAAACGCAAACTCAAGCGAGAATAGCCATTTTTTGGATTCATTGGCCCAAACAACTGTGGAAAATTTGGGAACGATTTGTAACTCGGTTTTCCGCATTGTATGGGAAAACCTACTTTTGACGTAGGATTACGTCTTTCAGCAACGTATTGGGGGTGCAATTTAAAAAAAAACCAAAATCGACTATGTTACGAATAGTGGTCAGGTTTTGACCACTTATAACTCTGTCAATAGCGGATGTATATACATTCTAAACAAGCCAATCGATTGGACATTTTCCTACGAATCTTCTAGAATGAATACTTTATTAATTTTCAATAGGTCACAATTGAAAATTACACAAATGTCCAACTGTTTCAATGGTGATCAAAAGTATCACCGATTGCCTGCAAAAAGTGGTTTCTTTAACATAGTCGGCGAATATCGATACCGAGCACGTAATCCTACGTCAAATCTACGGTCGTATCTTGGATACAACCTCTAACCTTTTTTTGCATTATCATCCCTAGAGACCACAATTTTGCTTGAACAGTGCAACTGTACAAATATAGATCAGGAAGTGCCTGACAATTTTTCCGAAGGAAGTACCGTGCTACACAGTTAGAAAAAAGTACCCAAAATTAAGTTCTTTTCACTCATCTCGGCACTATATTGCAGGAACCCAAAAGTAGGTAAAGCGAGTCAAGGTAATTTTCATTTACTTGTGTGCAGTTCGTATGGAATTTTCCATTGGCTTTTTAACCAAAAGTAAGTTAGTTGTACCCAACAGTTGTTAATGGCTAGCCAGATGGGCTAGTTAAAAGGGATTCCCCTAACCTCTGGTCTAGCCACGAAGATCGTCTGGGGTGGGCTACACTCGCCTCTTTTGTTGGCTAGCTCGAGCTTGAAACCCTGGAGCTCACTTTTCACTCGTTTATTTCTTACGATTTCGGTGTCTGTAGTGTGTATGTGTGTATAGTGCTGGCCAGCGATGACGGGATTCTGCAGCGGGTGGGGTTTTTCGGCGGCGGATGAACGGACTGTTCACAGTATATGCCGGTGCTCGACGGTTGTCACCGTGTGGTACGACAGATGTGGCACTGGGGCTCGATCGGGTGATCGACGGTGGTCTCTCAGTGGTTGTCGGTGTATAACCGATGGATGCTTGCTACATGGGTGTTGGCGTGTTAACGGACGCCCTCGTGATTTAGCCCGTAATTAATAGGTCCTGAGGGGAATATGAGAGGTGGTCTTAGGGCTGGGAATTCCGCTACCGGGTTATTAATTGGGTCCTACCTGACTCTGTATTCGGTGGTATTAGCCGGTATTTGTTGGCGACTCTATATTTTTCACTTCTTTTCAAAACTTAACTTGGCAGATCGATCTATCTCGCGCAATGGCTAAAGTGAAAGAGAACCTTCTTTTCAGTTTGACCCAGTAGCTTCCCCCTTGACCTAAACCCATTTCCACCTCCCTCCCACTTTTCCACCACCCCTTGTCCATATCCTTCTCTTGTTTCCAACGTCCACCTTCATCCTTACTCCTTCCCGTTATGTGTTCTGTGTTATGTGTTGTTGGTGTGACTGGGTTACAATTTTTAATTGGACCGTTGTTTTGGGATTACATATTTACTTACATTCAAAACAAGACAATATTGCATACAAGAAACTGACATACAGATTGAATTCACAATGAATACACATATACCCTATTCCTCGCTCTCGCTATCTCCTGATTTTTCTCGCTCGAAGTGAACCAATAGGGTACAGGAACCAAAACGGTAACACAGTAGGTAAATATGATTATACTCAACGTTGGGTTCCCACACTTTACTACCCCTGTTGGGTGGTTTTGTTACTCCGTTTTTGACAACATTAGAAGGAGAAAATAAGACAAACTAGTCAAAAGTAGGTAAAAGTGAACTGGCCGTTGGGTACTTTTTTCTTACCGTGTAGAATATTTGTAAAAACAAGTGGAAGAGTCTGTGCCTAAGGGCACAAACGGAAACTTGACGCAGGACTTCGATTGGTTAGTACATTTGTTTTTGGGTTTGATTATTTTAATTGATACAAAATCTGTAATTTTGACTCTATAATCTTTCAAATGGTCGTCCTAAAAAGGGTCGTTTGTTGTTTTATCAGATATCCTGTATCTGTAATCAAGACAAGTTTGTTGCTTTTATTACTATTTAGACAATTGTTTCAATGGGTATCAACAGTAAGAGCAGAAGCGCTAAGGTAGGCCTGTTATGCAAAATTTCGTATTTGATCAGGAATATTTCGCGATCTGAACATTTTAGCTTGAATTCCATCAATCAATTCTTGCTACATTTTAATCTACCGATTGAGTAAAAACATTTTAGTAACTATTGATTTTTTTAAGATTTCGTGCGTTTTGTGATCTTTAATTTTACGTAAGAAAACGGGGTGTTCCTGTGGTGGGGAAAAATTATTTCGCTATCAAAGATTACAGATTTCTGTACCAAGCACTTTATTTATGCTTTTAGATTTGCATTGTTAGTCCCTCCCACTTAGAGAATTATGCTATAGAATGGCATTTAAATGCGCATATAATAAAAATCTCCATTGTCAATAACATCCACACAAATCCAGACTATTTATTTTACAACAGCCAGATGTTTCAAAAAATCACTTGGCAACCCTGCCTGCTACGTTTGACAGAAGAGTTGATATACACTCATAAAATAAATCACATAACCAGTGGAAAATAGCCATGTGAATTTCACCTAGCTTTCATGTGATCCCATAATTGTTAATTGCACCACTTAATCACTTGAACGTTATGTGTCCAATGAAATCTAAATGATTACTCACATAAAATTTCTTATGTTATGTGATACAGTGCTTTCCCGATTTTGTCAGCTCCCGATTTTGTCTACCCCCGATTTTGTCAGCCTGAAGATTTCATTTAATTTTTGAATTTTTGAGCATGAATTCTCGAACTCTACGCTATGAAGCAACATCACCCGGCAGAGGACAGCGAGTGCTAAAATCGGAGAAAAGCCGGTAGAGTACGGAAAGTGGTGAAAGCGGAGTCTTTGGAAAAGTGGCAATAGTAATGGAACGCGGTGGATAGCGGTAGATGGACACATTGGTTATTACCGATTCTTTCGACCTAGGTGCACAGAAAACACGGAGAAGTCAACCACCACCGGACGTAGTTCCTGTCTGGCCACGGCTGCCTCAGGAAATACCTGCATCGGCTAGGACGTGGATGAAACACCGGAGCATGTGGTCTTCGACTGTCCAAGGTGCGAGACAGTGCGAAGGGAGATACCGGTCCTTAACGTGGAGAAAGGCACTTGGAATGGAGAGAGGAGCAGCGATCTAGCAACGCCAGCTAGCACTGAGAGTATGAGAAGTGCCAGCCCCCTCGAAGTAGTCGCTTCAGCATGGTCCCGGGGGGATCCAGGCAGAAGAGAGAGTAAGGAATGGGCTTTAGTGGAGCTAAACTAGGATACCACCCCGTGCCAACTTCAATACAGGTCTGGCTTTTTGACCCCCTCCCCACATTTTCTCTGCTTTGAAAGTTGATACATAATTCATTATCGTCAAAGGAAAATTAATTCAATAATTCTAATTATTTGATGGTTTAGAAGAGTTCTTACAAATAATAGGATAAGGAGGAGTAAAACGCACCCTGGCGTTATATGACCAACAGCGTTTTTTCTCGTACTATTAAAAGACTACTTGATACAAACCATTTCCCAGATGACTGTTCTGGGATGGGTGAAACTCCATTAAATTTGTTTTGCAAAACACGTAAATAAACGCTGATGGTCATATTATCCCATAGCACCCCGTACCCCTATAAGGATTTCATAATTCTGTAATAGTTATCATCAAAAAAATAATGGAATTTTGTCAGCTTCCCGTTTTTGACAGCCTAATATTTGAGAAAAGCTGACAAAATCGGGAAAGCACTATATTCCGATAAAAATTATTATTTTTGTTATTGGAAAAATACTTTGTGCGTTCCTAATAGAAACTAAATGAAAACTTTTTTCAGTGTAGTGATCCCAGCAATCAGGATATTTCCCATTTGACTGAATACCGATGCAATGTTTTGGTTGGCAACACTTTTTCTCTGGCTTCGCAAGTGGAAAGCTGATTGCGGAAAATTAGACAGTTAGGCCATTATAAGTTGTCGCTTTGCCGCAACGTCTCAAACCCAGATGCATTGCGCAGTGCACTTAACTTCGCATCGCAGCTCACTCGCGACTCCAGATTAGTGGCAATAGCCAGAATTTGTTATGATATCCCCTTCTCGTTTACACTACCCTTATGAAATAAGATGAGGCTCAAGTGTCAATTTTGGTATTATCATAGTCTATTAGACCATGATTTGAACTTGAAGAATGCTTTAAAGCCCTGATAAATCTTGCAATTTTACTTGGGAGGGCTTCGAAAAAAATGAAATAGGGCGCACCTAAATAAATATTCTGATCTTCCACCGATCGAACTAAACTCCTTACTTTACTACTCACAAACTAGGGTGACAGATTTTACAGTAATAAAAGGAACACATCTCTCTATAGCCAGCGCCGGTGGTGAAGTGGTAAGCGTGACTGCTTTTTAACACCCCAATGGGTCTGGGTTCAATCCCAGCCGAGGTCGATGGGATCTTTCTGAGGCATAAAAATCTCTGGTCACGTCTTCCTTCGGAAGGGAAGTAAAGCCGTTAGTCCCGGCCCATGTGTGTTGTGAATGGGTGCGATATCCTACGCAGGTGTGGAAGCTGCCTTCCTGCACATTCGATTGCCATCAATCGATGTCCGTCGGTGATTGGCACTAGATTGCGGAATAGAGACCGACGTTAAATAAAGAAAAAAAAAAAAAAAAAAACATCTCACTAAACATCTATCCGTTGTTCTATAGTTTGAAGTAGTAAATGGTTCTGCTGCTGGTCAATATCAGTGAAACCGCTTGCTTCTCTCGCTGCTAAGGAATCCAATTTTGATTGATGGAAGTGGCGCCGCTTTCAAGGTAGCTTTCACTCTTCGATCCCCCTCGAGACCTTACATTCCTTGCGATAAAAGCAAGGATGACAGCTGTATCAAAACCGAATACTTCATAATTTCTCAATAGTTATGTAGCACAACGACATTCGCTAAGGACACGGTATATTCTATAATCAAATTACTGCTCGTAGTGGAAGCATGTCCCGAACAGAGCAAGACAAACTAATTATATTTTGGACACGCGTGCCGTGTGAAATTTTCTTAATTAGAACATTATCAAAACATTCTTAATCCATCTCGCAACAATTCTAATTGCTTTCCATAAATCAGCTTAATATTTTACCCCCATGGAACCATCTTCATATTCCGCAACCATTCAGTGGAAGTCGTGAGATCCGGCGCATTTTCCGAAACATTTTTCATTTCCTTGATGACTCGTTTAAATTTATGACATAACCTCGAACGCGCCATGACTATGGTATAGTCACTGTGGAACTGCCGCCATATAACTTCCCTTTATGTTTGGTGGTCGGTTGCTATGCTCTCTCGATGGTTCTGCATGATCAACTTCTCATCGTGACATTCCTACATGCCGACCTCGAAATGAAGATCATTAGGCGGCGTTTAAGGCGATGGTTGCGGTGTGGCGTGCATTGTATATTGCTACTGTCTTTCTAATTTATGATTTCCAGTTTTGTAATAAGCGTCAGGTTATTAGGTTGTTTGAAATTTCTGAACTAAAGGAGCAATTCATGTTACATTCTTCATTGGAACTTGATTGCTCGTGATCAAAAGCAAGCAAAACAAAATTATAACGATTTCAGTCACGTAAACATTGCTCGGGGAACGATTTGTTTAGTTTTTCTTAATTGAGGATGTACTGTATAGATATTTTCTTTCGCAGAAACCGAAACCACCCTCTGGTCAATGAGATAAACAGAGGAAATAGACAATTTTAAGTATTGTACGCTACTAGGTACACATTAGAAAAAGGTCTTCTACGAGTAGGTTTCAATAACCTACCGACCAAGGTACCGATTATTTGCAATTTGGAAGAATTGGTTTTCGACTTGTCATGTTAGAGGTTTGTACTTACGCGTTGATTTTGATAGGCCGTAACCGCGGTGAATGAAGTCTCCGGAAATACGAACGTCCGGTATGTCAACATGTCCTTCTCGGTTTTGACCGGTCCCCGGTTGGCGTTGTTGTTGTTGTTGTTGCTGCTGTTTCGGGAAAAGTGGCAGACATGAAGGCGCGGCTGATACCGATGCATTGAGTTGAGAATGATCTGTTTGAATGGGTGAGGGAACAGAAGAGAAACGGAGGTCAGACCGGGAGGGTGCGAACGAAATAGAGGTGATAAGTGCGGTGCTAATTGGTCTGTTTATATGAGTTTGATGAAATATCAAACATCAAGTTGTTAGGGTGAAACGTACTACCACTGACTGGCACATATGTATTTACGCAGACTTACGTGTCCGTTATCGTCTAATTGATTGTTGGTCAGTTTCAGCTTGTCGAAGGAGATTGTTTGCTTCATCCAAGTGGCACCGGTTGCCGGCGAGTCTGGATGGACGCTTATTCGTGGAGGGGAAATGGGATCTGCTTTACCTGCCACCACCCAACTGGAGCTGCAATGGATGAAAAACAAAAAAGAAAAAAAAAAACATCACCTATGGGAGAAGAGGTTGAGGCACTCAACAGATGCATGATTTTATTTTTTTTATTTAATAAATTTATCGAAGAATGGCTACCGAAGTATGTCATGAGATAACTTAACGCGAAGCTTACTGGCAAGTAAATATTATTTTTTGCTCGTTTAGATTTTTCTAAAATATTGGAAAAAGATATCAAAAATCTAAGAAAAACAACTTTTTTGCTGTAATTCTTAAGCAAATTTACGTGTAAAAACAGATTTTCTATTTCATCATTTATAAAAATTGGGTCTGCACAGTCAAAATTTGTGAATATCAAAGATGATGTAATTTGAAATGTTATTGAAATGATGCTCAAGGTCTAAACCTGAAGGAAAAAAAGATAGGAGGGACATAAGTTCGAAGAGTAAAAAGGTCAAAGGGACAACTGGTCGACCGAACAACATTTGAATTCAAGTTGCAGATGGAACCTCGGTTTACGAAGTCTTTTTTAATGCAATATTCACTTTACGTTCCTTTTTTTACTAAGTAAATCCCAAATAACGAAGTTTTTTCTTCACGAAGCAAATTCCAAATAATGAGTTTTTTTTTACGTTTCTTGGAAACTGGAAAACACTGTGAAATACCCCACAATAGGGTACTTTTGGTATCAGGATGACGTGAAGGGATTGGAAATCTATGTCTGACGCTATTTTGGAATCCAAGATGGTGGCTTCCGGTTAGAGAAAGAACTGGGAAATACGGTCAAATACCCCACAATATGGATATTGGGTTCTTTGGGTATGAACCACACTATGAAGTATTGGCTTTGGCTAGAGATTTGATGAGAATGCCAAATGGTTTTTGAGGATAGTCGTAGAGGAAATCTAGGGATAACACTAAACGAACTCTGGATAGTAGTTTTGAGAAGTATCTCATGAAAATTTTAATGAGAAGTGTGAGTTTTATGGTTGTTCTGAAGAGAGTATCATGGGGATTATAATTATAATTCTAGGGAACTCTAAAGCAAATCGAAAGAAATTTCAGGACGCATTCTAAGGGAACTCCAGGGCTGTTACAACAGGCGCGGATTTCGAGAATTAAAAATTAAAAATTATATCGTGAAAATCGCGAAGGGACTGATGCGCTGTCACAAAAATTGTGGAATTCATTGTAACCTTTCCGTCCCGGATTATTATGCTGTCATCAATTTTGTTGTTCTTTGGCTCTCAATTTTTGACCGGTTCAAACCAAACACCCTGCAAATATTCGAGAAATGATCTCAATTCCATAAGTCACACTGGATTTACACGGAGATTTCCTGATGTCTGTCCAATGTGAGACATTTTCCAATATTTTTTTTTCAATATGAACATAGCATTTTTCGTTGTCAAATCATAAACGAATCGTATATATGCGAGTAATTGCCATGTATACCGGATATTCTAGGTTCTTCAAATCGCCCTGGAGTTCAGTTGATTTGTTCCACTATATCCACCAAGACTGCAATAATGTCTGTAGTATCGACATAAAGGGCGAACACGAAATTATTGCGACACCGAAAATGTCATGCCAATTTTCTTATAATGTTTAGAATCAAACCAAAATTTTAGGGTAGTTTTATACATATATTTACTTCAAAAATCAAAAGAAAAGTTAATCGATGGAGCCTTGAGTGTAAAATTGAACGCATTTTTGCTTGATGCCCTCCATCAAAGTCTTTACAGTGTCATCCGGTACCAGTTTCTCAGTTTTTTTTTTTCCATTTTCTTAACATGTTCTTTTTGTCTTTGACTGTCTTCTTGCTCTTCCGAAGTTCCCGCTTCATTATTGCCCAGTACTGCTCCACCGGGCGCAGCTCCGGACAGTTTGGCGGATTCATGTCCTTTGGAACAAAATGGACAGAATTGGCCTCATACCACTCCAGGACACTTTTAGAATAGTGGCATGATGCCAAATCTGGCCAAAATAGCGGAGCTTCGTCGTGCTGCTGCAAGAACGGCAAAAGGCGCTTCTCGAGGCACTCAGATTTGTAGATCTCGCCATTTACTGTGCCCTTTGTCACGAAAGGCTCACTCCTCAGTCCGCAAGAGCAGATGGCCTGCCAAATGAGATATTTGGAGGCGAACTTCGACATTTTCTTCTTCTTAAATTTGTCGTCCACATCGAACTTGCTCTTGCCGGTGAAAAACTCCAACCCCGGAATTTGCTTAAAATCGGCTTTTATATACGTTTCGTCGTCCATCACACAGCAGCCATATTTTGTCAGCATCTTCTCGTAGAGCTTCCGTGCCCGAGTTTTAGCCGTCGATTGTTGCCGCTCATCGCGGTTTGGGAAGTTCTGTACCTTGTATGTATGTAGTCCAGCTCTCTTCTTTGCATTCTGGACGTAGCTCTGCGACATGCCGATCTTTTTAGCCAAATCACGGCTTGAGACGTTGGGATTTGCTTTAATCATCCGCTTCACCTTTCCCTCCGTCTTTTTGTTCTCCGGTCCCGGTTCTCTTCCAGCTCCTTTGCCGTGGTCCAACGTCAACCGCTCCTGGAACCGCTTCAACACTCTGGAGACGGTTGAATGGTGAATGTTCAACATTTTTCCCAACTGCCGGTGCGACAGGTCAGGAAATTCCAGGTGTTTGGAAAGAATTTGTTCTCTCAACTCGCGTTGGTTCACCTCCATTTTCGTTGAATCGAAAAACACGACTTCGAGTTTGACAGCATGTACACAATACACATCAATGAGAAAGTGTGCAAAATTTGCTTGATTTTTACCCAATGGTAAAAAAGTTATGCCCTGTTGAATGTGTCGTAATAATGTCGAAACACACTGCTACGTATACAAGATGTTATAGTTTCTGAAATCATTCTGGAGATCAGATTATTTTTCTACTAGATCACCCAAGACTTATTCTGTATATGTAGTATCGAAATATGCCCAAACAAATTTCCAGTGTCTATGTGGATCATGCCAACCTATTTCCGTGTATGCCAAATGTTCTAGGATTTCCAAATCGATATTTCGATACTACAGACACACACAAACATACATAACACATTGAATATTTCTCACTGTAAAACATTACCGCCATCTGTTGAGTACACTATGGTCGGTAGTACGCAGAGCAGATGGCGGTAGTGTGTAAACGTCAAATGCAAGGGAATTGACTATGCACGCCACAGGTGGCGGTACTACCATAGAGGTAACTCTAAGACCAGAAGGTCCCGAAGAAACGAGCTCAACTTTTTGGCTCAGCTCTGGTACTATCTTCGGTCCCAAGCTAATCGATGCACCCCTCGAAACATAGAAAAATCCACAAACCCCTCATTTTATCTGTCAAACTTTCATAGCGAATCAAAACAAACATAGTGTAGTACTGGAATTTATACAAGAATGGGGTTCGTTAGTCGATTTGCTTGGGACCAATAGGCTAGTCAAGTAGTGAGCCAATTTAAAATCGTTAGTTTCGTATTGATTGTTGGTACTACCAACTACGATACTTCTAAATTTACCGTTAAATGCTTGTTCGATGCACAGCTTGCGGGTGTTATGTCTGTTTGTCTGTGCTACAGATATTATCCTAGTCTTTGTTGATCTACACTCAAAAATTCCACACGTCATCATCATGTGTCTCACACTTAATCTTGCGCTTATTGTGAAACACATCCATTTCATGTGTGAATCTAATGCTATGAATCATGCCTGAACACTGTATGCACAATGCATTTGAATTGTGACACACTTGGATTCTATGTGCCTCATTTGGCGATATCAATAGCACATCCCGAGCAAAGTCTGAGATCAAATTGAAATCTAAATTTGATGTTGTGATTTCGCTGATAATGATTACTCAGGTTGCTGTCGTTTTGGTCGTTTTAACGGTTAAAATATCAAAATTGAGAGCAAACAAATCTTCCTGTGACATCACATTGAAAACTATTTCTGCTATCAGTGAGAGCAAACTGAAAACTATATTTGAAATCCATTTTTCCTGTTGATAACAAAACAAGTATTCAATTTGATGTTATGCTAAGGCAATGAAAACCCGCAACAACATATTTTTCAAGAGCAAATGTACAACAAAATGAAAACAAAATTAGATATCAAATTTGTCAATTGCGCAAACCGAAATCAAATTATGATTTCAGTTTGATGTTGATATCAAAACTTGATTTCGATTTGCTGTCATTTTGATGCTGGACTTTGCTCGGGATCATAGTTCAATATTCTACAATATTCTACTTTATCGACTTCTACTTTACCGACTCTAAAAATTAATCGACAAATATATAAACAAAACTGCCAGAGGCCAGAGCTTTCACATATCTTTTTAATGGGTCTGATTTGGGATTCGATCATGGACTGTTGGGGTGTGCTGCTGCCGGAGTCTTCGTTCAATCTTACTGTGCCACGGTTGTTCTCATATATGAGGCGGGTTAATTGGATAAAGTCACAAGTCTTGTTTTCGATGGTTACCTTTCTATGCAAGCAATTTACACCGCATTGAAATGCAAAACACTTTAAATCCATCTGTTTTGAACAGTAGTGTGGTTCAAAGTGCAATGCACTTGAATAGATAGTTAAAGATTTTCAACATTTCAAAATTTGAAACACTATAAATTAACGTGTATAACACATTGAACCAAGGTGAAATACACTTAAAGTAAATGTGATGATGCATTTAAAAAATCAAGTATTTAAACACTTCGATCAAACGTGTTGAATTTTTTAAGTGTTGCAAAACAAATCATCTGAACTGCAGGAAGATTTAGAGAACCTAGATCATCTGGTATACGTGGAAATAATTAAACATTATCCATATAGACACTATGAATCTGTTTGGACATATTTCGATCCTACAGACTTTATCCCAGTCATGCACACTTAGAAATAACTAATTTTACACGTGTCGGAATCCGTCTTTGACATAAAAGATGAGACGTAAACAAACATGTCATGTAATATTAAGTGCTCCGAGACTGAAAAGTTCGTTTCTAGACGAAAAGTACGTTTGATTGAGCTATATTTCGCGTCTGTTATGACTCAAATTTATGTCAAAATTAACGCTCGTATATGTCACTCTCAGAGCACCGAAATTTACATGATTTTTTCTAAGTGTGTGGTTGATCTAGTAGAATAAATCATCTGCACTCCAGAACAATTTGGAGAACTTAAAACATCTGGTATACATGACAATAGTTCATGCATGACACATAGACACTGTGCATCTGTCTGGATATATTTCTATACTAAAGACATTGTCCCAATCTCGGTTGATCTAGTAGATCAAATAATCTGAACTCCAGGACGATTTGAATTCCCGTCCGGTCTATTAATTTTTTGGGTTGGAATTTCTCTACTTCCATGGGTACAGGCATAGAAAGCTCTCAATTAAAATGTGAAAGTACTTCAAAGAACACTAAGTTGAGAGCAGGCAAGAATCTAATATGCTATAAGCAATAAGCTTGAAATGTCATGTCTTTTTCCTTTATTTAACGTCGGTCTCTGTTCCGCAATCTAGTGCCAATCACCGACGGACATCGATTGCCATCCATTGACGGCAACCAAATGTGCAGGAAGGCAGCTTCCACACCTGCGTAGGATATCGCACTAGAGTGATGCAAAGTTTGAAATTTTCGCTACACAATACTTAAACGATTCCAAATCGGATCCTGACTAACCTCTCAAAATGTGAACCCATTTGGTGAGAAACTGAGATGGCACAAACCATTTGAAGTTTGTATGGGAATTACTACCGGTAAAACCAAGATTTTTGTTCATGTCTATCTAATAATTCACCAAATCGGTCTGCATCAAAAACTTTCAACTGTACTTGTGAGAAATTTTCCCAGCTACAACTTTGCTGAGGTTCACTTTTTGATTAAATGCAAGGATCGAAAGTTATCCATGGTTGAATGCGCTGATGTCTTATGATCTTGCTCAATCAACTGCTCAGCAGGCAACATTGGTGTTTCTGGGGCGTTGAATAGGACACACAAATCATGGCTACTATGTCACACTGCAAAATACAGTGTTGCCTACAGAGCAGCTGCTTGATCGTGTCATAAGTTTACCAGTCTCTTAAATAATTAATAACTTTTTCCTGTCTCGTTTTACATAGAAGCGATCTTGAGCAAAGTTGTAGGTGAGAAAATTTTCTATAAGAATGGCTATCGAACTGTTTCGCAGCTCATTATGGAAAAAGACTAGAAGGCAAAAAACAAAAAGTTGAGATTTCCCATAGTAATTTACATGCAAACTTCAAATGGCTTGTGCGAAGTCTGTTTCTAACCAAATGAGTTGTAATTTTGGGAGGCTAATCAGGACCCGATTTGAAACCATTTAAGCACTGTGGAGCGAAAAAGTCAAATTTTGCATCAATCTAATATCGCACCCATTCACAACACACATGGGCCGGGACCAACGGCTTTACTTCCCTTCCGAAGGAAGACGTGACCAGAGATTTTATGCCTCAGAAAAATCCCACCGACCTCGGCTGGGGATTGAACCCAGACCCATTCGGGTGTTGGAAAGCAGTCACGCTTACCACTACACCACCGGCGCTGGCTTTGAAATGCCATGTAGTAGTATACAAATGATATTTTTAGGCAATGAAAACAGTTTTTTTTGTCGCGAAATCTTGTAACAGCCCTGGAGCTCAAAGCCCCTTTCCTTCAAAGTGAATTAACCCTACAAAAAACTGTATCTACGCCTAATGATACCCTACGGCTGAAATATCGATAAATCAATTAATCAATCAAAGCTGAATTTTGAAAGGGGCTTCGAAGACATATGGATAATAATTCCATGGAAATCTAATTCTTAAATTTCTCAACAAATTCTTTACAGTCTTTCATGCTAGTTTGAAGATAGTATCCAGATTATTATTAATAGAAATTTTTAAGAATTTTGAAATAATTTCAAGGAGTTTCCGGTAGGGTTTGGCTGGAAATTTTGAGCATATTTTCAAAGAAACTATGAGTAGTGCTACAAGAGAATCAGAAGACGTTTCCAAGCGAATACTAACTTCTAGAAAACTCCAAGATAATTCCATGAGATCCTTTTAAAGGCATTTTGAGATGAATTCTGAATCGAAATCCGAGGAGATTTTGAGAGAATACATTTATTAATTCTAAATGGCCTACCGAGAGGATGCCGAAGCTTATGCCAAGCGAATTCTTGGGAAAATTATGGAGAGAAATTAAACAAATTCTCGTGAGAATTATTAAGAATGCAAGAGTGAAATAAAAGACTTTTCTGGAGGTAATTCATAAAGTGTTCGGCACAGACTTCTTTGGAATAGTTCCAAGAAAATTCTTGACAAATTTGCAAAGATATCTAGGGATGAGTTCCTATGAAATAATGCAGTAAATTTAAACATTGAAGATTTTTAAAGATTCCGTGCACAGAAATTCATGATTAAGGATTAACGAAAATACTTTGGATTCTGAGACTTCTATTGAGAACAAATTCCAAAAAGTGTAACACTAAGTTATGTGAGAAAAATCGTCTATGGAAGCAGAAATGGAGAAACTTTCCTTAAATGCCTGGCATGAAAAGGTTTTTTGGTTCTAAAATAATGATTGCTTCTGATTCCGGTTAGTTCCCAGACTTCCCGGTTCACCCTGTAGTTTACACAACTTTCAAACCGTGTGTTAAGCCTCAACTCATAGAGAGAAAGCTCTTTTTGAATGAACTTCTGCTATAACTACCTTTGGAAAATTGATGTGGTTCTTGTTTAATTTAAAGGGCGTCGTTCGTTTATTTGCTCCAAAACCATCTTAGTAAAGTTTTATGAATTTGGGAGGACTCCTAGTTTGACAAAAATGAAGCTGAGTGCAGTTTCGAACCCCTTTGGATACGGTTGTGTTTTAAGTTTGTTCTCTGTTTTGTGCGTGCGTTCGCTTTCATAGTTTTCGGCTGCATTTGCCGGATTAGCGCTGGCACTCTGCCTCCCGGACGGTTATACGTGTGTGATTGGTGGTTTTCTCGTTTTCCGGGAAGTTTTAGAATCGAGAAAGAAAACGTGATTCATCATGTTTGCAAGCATCAGAAGAGATGTCGCTATCAACGTTGTTTGATATTTTCTTCCGGACCAGAAATTAGTGGCATCGCGAGTGATAATTTTTAATTTCAGTTTATTTAAGCGCTGCAAGGTGCGTGAAAGAGTTCGGCACGATCGGTGTTGATGTTGGCTAGCTTGAATTTTTTATTGCAAAATAAAAATTAAGTGTTTTCGAACGAAATTGATATTGAAAGTGTACCAAAAGTGCTTCTGAACGTGTTTCGCGGTTAGGTGGAGTAAAATTCGTGAATTCGCGGTTTATGTTCAGTGAAAATTCCGTATCACAAAATTGCTCAATGAGTTCCCTTTTTTGTCGTTCGACGACGACGGGTTCGCGAGAACGAATCAAATAGACTTCAAACTTTCGAAGATGAATTATATTATAATACAACTAGATATTCTCCAAGCTTACTGTGTGCTACCTTGACTCAATCATTGTTAATTGATAAAACGCTCTAGCATCTTGTTTTTGTGTGCTATTGCACCTAGTTTTTACAGAATTCAAGGTTATAAATTCTCCATTTTTGGGAAATCCTGGGAGTCAGGATTTTACTGATCGCGGGAAATTACGGGATTTCCCAAAATAATCATCATTTAATTTTCTCTCTGTAATACTTCAACTTGACTGTCAAGTTGACTATACCAAGCTTCGCGGATTGCATGCAAGAACAGCTCTAATCACTGTTACTTCCTCGTCAGAACCATTTCTGAAATATTTAATTTTCACTTAACATCTACGGACCATTGCTCCTCTGGCTTCGACTGGCTGATTTTAAAACCATAGAACTGTCAAACATAATGGATAAGCTTTGGTTATCAAATCTAATATTAACACTAATGTACCACATCAACATAATGTAGTTTTACTTGCGAATTAGTTGAACTTTCTATGTTAAGTTAAGCTACTAGATCTGGAGATTCAAAAAAAAACATTACACCAACAAATCGCGTCAAGGGCGCTCTGCCATTTACTGCCAGCTTGTAAGTGAATCTGAAACCAGTTACCTGAGTAGTTGACCTACGTATTTTCTTTCACCACAGCTCATACTGCAGAAGCACACAACCTAACTGTACGAATTTTAACTGTATTTCGTGTTTGTTTGAATTAAATCATCATAATGGTTTTGTCCACCTAGACGCGATATCATGAGTAACCGCTACAGCAACGAAATACCAACCCGCGGTCACGCTTCTGTTTATTCTCGTGTCCAAAGTTATGCAAACACTGTCAACGTCAGTCATTTATATCTATATTTTAACTTACGTGTGGAAAGCATATCGATACCGCTTATCGTCCAGTGGAACAAAGTCCATTATCATGAGATACTCCGCCGTCAGCTCCAGTCCGACCACCTTTACCTGAAAGGTGGGAAACATTCGCCGTCCGGCCTTGGTAACTATCATCTCCGTGCCCTGTTCATGGAATTTGTCCCACAGATGCTTCCCCTCGAGCATCACCATGGCGGAGGCAAGCGATGGGTGATAAGGTTTGTCTATATCGCCAGCGTTTGATTTTTTGCCACTGTTGGAAAGCGTTTTGCTACCGCTTGTATTGCTATTGCAGTTGGGGCTGGTTCGGCCTCCGCTACCACCACCACCGTCGCCACCCCCACTAATACTGGAGTTTGTTTTGCTCGAGGGACTGTTGTCACTGTCGGTGTTGAAGTTCTTATTGCTACTTAGGGTGTTATTGTTGTTGTTACTGTTCGCTAAATTACTACCACTACCACTATGAAGACTATCACTATCACAATTGATACTGAGCTGCTCGACCTGCTCTAGAGGGTTGTACTGGGCTTTGTTGGCGTTTTGCAAACATGCTGAAAGTGAACAAAAACGGAAAAATGCGTTAATAGCAGAATTTCAAGAACGCAAGTGGCGTTGTATATTGTCACGTTTATATAAGTATAAATAACGTTAATCGATACACTATTCTAGGTTAGGTTTCGTTTATCACGCTATATGGATGAACATCAGTTCAAATATCAAGTTTTGTTGAAGTCAAGTGATAGAGTTCTAAGTCTAGAACTTGTTCAGGCTTGTCTTTTCCGTTGTGATATTTATGTATACCATATTTATTTTTGCCATAAATTTGGTGTTGACATTGCGAACAGATGCGCCTATTTGAGAATTTTCATTAGAGCAAATCCACGCCAACAGACGCATCGATTTTATTTTACCCTCTCCGAATTCCATGAAACTTCGCATAATTGTTCACTAGGGGCAATGAACCAAGTTTGTGCTGGAATTGGGCCATTTGGACTGCCACATAACTTTTCAATATGACGTGTACGACATATTTCAATAAATCATACCATGGAAATGGCTCATCTAACCGACATGATTTCTGAGGCAAAGTTGTAGGAAAATGAATTGTCTTTTCTAAAAAATACATACTGAAAAAAAAACAAACAAAAATATCTTTTTCAAAAATTAGAACTTTTTTTTTACACATAATTTGTATTGATTTTTATGCAGAAAACATTATTTCGTTAAAAAATCGCTACGCAAATTACATAAATATTGCGTGAAAAAAAAATGTTCAAAATTTTTTGCTAAAAGTTTATCTTTAGTAACATTGTTTACTGCACACTTAGAAATAACTAATTTTGCACGTGACGGAATCCATCTTTGACATAAAAGATGAGACGTAAACAAACATGTCATGTAATATTAAGTGCTCCAAGACTGAAAAGATCGTTGCTCGACGAAAAATACGTTTGATTGAGCTATATTTCACGTCGGTTATGACTCAATCTTATGTCAAAATTGACTCTCGTATATGTCACTCTCAGAGCACCTAAATTTACATGATTTTTTCTAAGTGTGTGTTTATTATTATTTTTAAAGTGCCCATTGGGCCCAATATTAGAAAAGTAAGCTTTTTTTGATAATTTAAAGCTTAAGAGGAAATTTACCCCCCGATTTTTTTTTTCCGGCGCGTTTATTTTTTTCCAAAAATATTGGGAAACATTTTTAATAAATCTTCGAAAGTCAGTTTTTCCTTAGATTCCTAAGAAAAATTACATGTAAAAAAATGTCTTCTATCTCATCATGAAATTTGGACCCTCAGCAAAAACGAAAACTTGATGGATTGTGGTTTTTAGAGTTCAACTTTATGTCATTATGTCTTACAAAATATGTTCTGGACGAAATTTTTTTTAAAGGAAATAATAAAAAAATAAATATTTGTTTAGAATTTTGATATCTTTTACCGATATTTTAGAACAAATAAAAATGCAATTATTTTTTTGCAGCGGTAAACTTCCACTTAAAAATAGGTTTAAAAATCTTCATAATAATATTATTTTTAATGTTTGTGAAGTCTTTTACTAAAAATTTGCGAATTTTTTTTCCCAAACCTCGATTATATGATCCGTTTTTGTGCTATTTTTTAATTGAAAAATATCGATTACAAAAGTTAAACGAATTCCACCAAACCTTGGTTCTTTGCCCCTAGTGAACAATTATGTAAAGTTTCATGGAATTCTGAAAGGTAAAATCAGAAATTCGATTATTTTTTCGCTATTTGGCGTGAATTTGCTCACGAGTTAAACCAACTAAAACAGACTTAATAAGTAGAAGGGTCACGAACGGGAGCTTGACGTAGGACCGCTAGGGCACGAAACAAATGTGGAGAAAATTTAGTTCTTTTAATTGATCGATCATCTATTGTCTTAACTCTTTCCGTTTTTGATTTGCAGGCGTACCAAATTTGTAGTATTTTTTTAAAGAGAAAGTTGAAGAAGAGAATCAATCAAAATCACTTGCACCCCTGCTTCCAAGTTTGGTTACAAGATTACAACTCTGGATAGCATTTTGTGTGGTCGTTGGGGGCAAGTGTTTCTGAATATGGACCAACAGGCAGATAAATTCTATTCTATCTTTTTACTGTAATAAGCTTGTTGGCCCAGAAAAGGGCCGTTTTGTTGCCAAAGTTGGTGATGATTCAACCTCTGAAGCTGTACAGAGTTCGTCTGTCACTTCAAAGCATAGACGACATCGATGGCCGGAGACACGTTTAACACCGCCACGGCGCACAGTGGCACGAATATGAATAAAGACGGTCAAAAATATTTTCTACCCTTTTTCGACGTTTTAGAGACTGGCTGTCTTGGGAGAAGTTGCTCAAAATTATATCTCGCATCTTTTGAAATACACACCTGAATAATCTTTAAGCTAGTATTACACATCCAAATTCTAACTTTTTCCAGTTACGAGATAATGGTTCCATGTCTTCCAGAAAGTTGCAGAGCAGTTGATTTTATGAACATTTGCTAAAGACACCAAATTTCTACATAATAACTCTGTAGAGCTATAATAGATTTTCTTTTAAGACTACCTTAATATTGGTTTTTTGAGTTAATTAGTGCTTTTTTCAAATTTGATCAATTTATCATGTTCTAAAAAATTGTTGGCATCATTAAAATATACAACTTTGCTGAATACACCAATGCTTTTCATTGACATCTATGTGATATACAGCCCATCAAGCGTTTTTGTGACGTCATATTCAACGGCTCGAAAAGAGGGTGGGTGGGCCCTGGCGGGGTCTAAAACTGGCTGTATTTTGAAGATTACCTTATAAAATAGTACTTCTGAAAATTTCAGCGTTGGGTACTGAGGGGTACCTAGTCAAATCTCGATTCGAAAATGTCAATATTATATACAGCCCATCGGACGGTTTTGTGACGCCATATTGAACGGCCCGAAAAGATGGGAGGCGGCCCCTGGCAGGGATTAAAACCGATTGAATATCGAAGATTACATTATAAAATAGTGCTCCTGAAAAGTTCAGCGTTGGATATTGAGTTATGAATCAATGATTTTAACCTACACGTGTTTGAACTTGCAAATTATTTAAATTATTAAGCTTAATCTGGAGATGTATTTAATGGGTTTGTTCTTAATTTGTTTGTTATTCAGTGTACCTACATTGATATGTACATTCATTGCAATATTGATACTCATATGTTGATAGTTGCAAATATTATAATGCAAGCTAATAATATTGGTATATTCCTTGCCCTTTATTATATACAATATGGACTAAAATATTCGCAATACCTATCGGTATAACTTTCAATAAAACTAGATTAAATGATAAAATTCTGACTACGGTTCCAACTTTGGACCTACCCACCCCACCCTCTTTTCAGAACATAGAACGTGACTTCACAACAGATGTTTGAAATTCCCGCGTGCACATCGTTGAACGCTGCTGCAGATGACTATTTTGTGCTTGACGTTTTGGCGATAGCAAAGAGCGATAGGGTTTATTTAATTATCTAGGTGTGATTTTTTTCACGAACAACTTGTATTGAAGTTGTGGTTCAAAATGAATTCATTCAATCTTTGTCGGATGGAATTGTTCAAAGTGTGGGCGGAGAAGATTCACGGAAATATTATCGAAGATAGTCAGGTAAGGAGTAATTAAAACATATTTTTTTCAATATTGGCATACTCAAAATATCAAAGTTCAGAATATACAGTTGATGAACAAACCCATTGATTATATTTCAAGATAATGCATTTTTTACATAGTTGTAAATTTTATCATGAGTAAGTAGCACACTCGTAGCACACATTGGTTTATAACTTGTACTAAATATATATAAACGAGATTTGACTAGGTACCCCTCGGTACCCAAAGCTCAAATTTTTAGGAGTACTATTTTATAAGGTGATCTTCCAAATACAATCAGTTTTCGACTACATCAGGGCCCGCCAACCCTATTTTCGAGCCATTGAATATGACGTCACAAAAACGCATGATGGGGTACATATAACATTGACTATTTCGACTCGAGATTTGACTAGATGACCCTGGAAACCCAGAACTGAACTTTTCAGGAGTACTATTTTATAATGTAATCTTCGAAATTCAATCGGTTTTAAACCCTGCCAGGGGCCGCCTCCCATATTTTCGGGCCGTTCAATATGGCGTCACAAAACCGTCCGATGGGCTGTATATAATATTGACATTTTCGAATCGAGATTTGACTAGGTACCCCTCAGTACCCAACGCTGAAATTTTCAGAAGTACTATTTTATAAGGTAATCTTCAAAATACAACCAGTTTTAGACCCCGCCAGGGCCCGCCCACCCTCTTTTAGAGCCGTTGAATATGACGTCACAAAAACGCTTGATGGGCTGTATATCACATAGATGTCAATAAAAAGCATTGGTGTATTGAGCAAAGTTGTATATTTTAATGATGCCAACAATTTTTTAGAACATGATAAATTGATCAAATTTGAAAAAAGCACTAATTAACTCAAAAAACCAATATTAAGGTAGTCTTAAGAGAAAATCTATTATAGCTCTACAGAGTTATGATGTAGAAATTTGGTGTCTTTAGCAAATGTTCATAAAATCAACTGCTCTGCAACTTTGTGGAAGACATGGAACCATTATCTCGTAACTGGAAAAAGTTAGAATTTGGATGTGTAATACTAGCTTAAAGATTATTCAGGTGTGTATTTCAAAAGATGCGAGATATAATTTTGAGCAACTTTTCCCAAGACACCCAGTCTCTAAAACGTCGAAAAAGGGTAGAAAATATTTTTGACCGTCTTTATTCATATTCGTGCCACTGTGCGGCGGGCCAGACGAGTGCTTTTGCTGCTTCTGCTCACCACGGCGTCCGAAGCGAAAATGAATTGAGGCTAGTCTTGCCTTTGTTTTAACGGGACTTCAACCGTAAACGGTCATTTGTCCCTCCAGAGTTTAGGCTAGACATCAGCGTTGTTTTATATCTTTTCAGGTTAAAACAGAATGATGTGCAACCAAGTGGTACTCGATTATGACGACGCCGGTA